TGCAAAAACAAAAGTTCTACATGCTAATGGGATACTCCTTTACTTTTGAAGGATAATTTTGCTGCATACAGGTTTTTCTTTTTTTAAATTTTTTATTTCTTTGGTGTGTACATAATTTTTGTAGATAGCTGAGGCCACCTGGGATCACCGGGAGGTGCCATTGTGCATGGCCATTCAACTGACAGCTACCACTGCTGCCCTAGCACACAGCCAAGTGGCCACACTAGCTCTGCGTGATGAGCAAGTAGGGAAGGAATTGGCCAGCTATGCAGCTCCCTTGATTGTGTGGTTGTCGTTGCAGCAACCGCTGATTTAGCCATTGCTACTCCACTGTTAACACTAATAAGAGCTGGAGCTGATAACACTAAAGGGAACTGTACTTTGCCTTTTCATGATTTCTATCCAAGTTGAGCAAAACAAACAAACGAAAAAACCCTCAGCTGATTGGTAACATCATTAGCAACTACTAAGGGAGTATCCTGAACAAGAGGACCAACAACAGTGGTGATTGGCATGTCTTGCGGATAAGTGGCTGCCAGAATCTTTGCTTCTGTCAACTATGAATGGAGAGTTCTGTCTGGCTCTCCCTGTGTAGCTTTCCCCACCCAAAAAACACCACACCCCTTGTTTGTGTCCTCTATTCTTTCATCACCTTTTCTTCCTCTCATTTCTATTGCTCACCATTTCAGTTTCAGTGTTAAATTTGTGTTGCACAGCAGACATCCAAAGAGACTCCTGACTAAATTTGGAGGGTGGAAGTTGTAATGAAAACCAGATTGAGAAATGAGCAGATAGTAAAGATAGTTAACACTTTTAGGCTATTTGTTCTAGAAATTTTGAGGTAAGAAAATAACTAAAGACAGGTAATAGCTGAGAAGATTTTCAGAATAGATAGTTGAGTCTTTTTAGAGGAAGACAGCAAGGGCAGTTGAAAGGGAGTGAATACCCCAAAGGATGGGATAATTGGTTTTAATGTAAAGCACAGAGAGTCAGACTAGATCTGAAAAGGGACTCTGAGCATTGTGGAAGGCACCAGTTAAAGGAAGGCACCAGTGACCAGTGTCAGGGAGAGATGCTGACAAGTCCAGCAGTCTCCAACCACACCGGTGGCATCTATCTAGAGTTCAGTGGGTCGGTTGTCCACAGAGAATGTAGGAGCAGAGAGGACTGGAGCCAGTGTTGAAAGAGAGCTCCTAAAAAGAGATGAGAGCTAATGAGGGAGAAGAAAGAGAGGTTAAGATGGGTGGGAATACTCAGGGAGAGAGTGGTGAGACCCAGTAGCAAGTCAGGTTGGACATGCAAGGACAGGAGTAGGAGAATCAGATGCAGATGTTTCCCGGGACTGTTTTCAGACAAGTGTAAAAGAAAGGATGTGAAAGGACATCTGAAAGATTGTAGGGAGCCATGGATAGTTTCAAAAAGTATCCATAGCCTGTGGCCAAAGAGTTGTGAGCATGGGCTGCTAGGTAGAATGTGTAGATTTGGTATAGTCTGTCTATGCAAATATCACTATATGTCATGGACAGTGAATATGGAGGACAAGAATGGATTGCACACAAGAGCACTAATGAATCAGCCACATGATTCACAGATGGCAGCTCAAAGAATGGCAGATGGGGAAATATATAACTGTTCTTCATGACGCAGTAGAGTAGGAAAACAAGGAAAAATATTAGCTGGGCACAGGAGAAAAAGTGGTCTACTGGGTAAGAAAAATGAAAAAGAGCAGAGCATATAACTAAGCAGCTAAAAGAGGGGGGATGTTGGGAAGATCAAGGTGGGCACTGCTCCAAAGAAAGTACATCAGGGACCAAGAAGGGAGAGAGCATGGAGAGTACCACTACACTTGCTTCTCATGTTTTTAACCTTTTGGTAAAGTTGTGTCTTCCAAGTTATAGCAGTTCATGGTCAAACTGATATTTATGCATGGTTTCCCTTTAGTGGAAGAATCAGGTCCTATAGGTCATGAGAACAGTCAGTGGGAGATTTTTAATGCCTCCAGGGACCCATAGGGTCAATGCCTGTTGTCAGCTGTAAATAGTTAACGGAAGATAGAGACCTTCATCCTGACTCCTTAAGATTAAGGAGAGGGGCTGGGTTGTGGCTCAGTGGTAGAGCGCTTGCCTAGGCACTGTGTTCAATTCTCAACACCACATATAAATAAATTAATTAAATAAAGGTACATCAACAACTAAAAAAACGTTAAATTAAAAAAAAAAAAAAGATTAAGGAGAGCTGGAGTAGTGGTGCAGGCCTGTCACCCCAAGAGCCTGAGGTAGGAACATTGCAAGTTAAAGGCCAGCCTTGGCAACTTAGTGGGACCCCTTCTCAAAATAAAAGGGCTGGGGATATAGCTCAGTGGTGAAGCCTCCAGTAAGGAGTAGGGGGAAGAAAGGGAGAGATTAAAGAGGATAAAAATCTCGTAAGGGGGAAATGAGATTAGAATACAAAGGGCCTGACCCAACCCAAAAGGTGTTTTTCTGTTTTTCTCCTTTGTTTTCAAAGGTTGTTTTTGCAGTTGGCCAAAGCAACCTGGGACCAATAAGAGCAGGTACCACTTGACTGACAGTCCCCACTGTTGCCCCTGGGGATAGCTACATGGCCTCACCAGTTCTGTGGACAAGGTGTAGGTAGGGTAGGGACGGGATCAGGGCACCACTTATGCCACCTTTGCAGCCCCTGTGCCCATCGTGGCTTTCACTCTTTCTACAGCAACCTACTGCTCAGCAGCTGCTGCGCTGGAGGTCATTTCTCTCGTTGTTGCCACTCCAGAAGCCTTGGTCCAGCCTCTGTGGCTGTCATCAAGGCTGTGGCAACTGCCACTTCAGCTGCAGCCAGTTTAGAGGCATACATGGCACATGGCTGCCATCTTCCCTTTGAACTTGCTGGGAATTTCTCTTCCCCAAACATGAGAGCTGAGTACAGATGGACTTCATACACGTGTAGATCACCATGGTTAGCATTATGGTGCAGACAGTCTGTGGTCACCAGTTGACTGTGCCTGCAGGAGCCACCCTTTTGTCTATATAAGCTCTATTCCTGTCCTCAGGGTGCCAGTCTGATGGCTATAATTCTGAGATCAGAGTGCCAGCATGGTTGGGTTCTGATGAGGGCTGCCTTCTTGCTGGGTACTAATTGCTTCACAGGGGTTCCACCTTCATGACTTTGCAAAAAGTCCACCTCTAAATACCATCACATTGTTGTTTGCCCTTCTGCATAAGAATTTCTGGGGGACCTAAAATTCAGTTCATACACTTCTTATGTAGGAATCCTATCTAATAATACGCATTCAGTCTTTGCTTCCAATATCCACCTGAGGAGGTGATCCAGTATACTCTTGTTCCTGGTTTGGACTTATAAGTTGGGAGTAAAAAGAATCCAGCTTACACTGTCTTAAGCAAAAGATGGAATTCATTGGCTCAGAAGCTTTAAAGCAATCTGGTCAACAAAGTACTTGCTATTTCCCAGCTGTTTCCTGTTGATTCACCTATGCTGCCTGGGACACTACTGGCAGCATAAGCTAATGAGGCTGTTCTGTCAGCCATCTGAAAGTGCTTCTCCCCCTCAGGTCAGTGTAAGCCACAGGAGTGAGCTTCACAGGATCCTGTGTATCACCTCCCTGTACCTCCTGAACCAACCCCTTTATGTAATTTCCAGGGAATGTAATTCCTGGTTGCCTGTGTCAAAGTCACAAGCCCAGCCTTCAGAGTAGGAATTAAGCCCAGGTAAGTCAGATTACATAAACTGAATAGAGGAATGGTGCTTCCCATACAAAGCCTGTGTCGGTGTTTTGAAAAGGAGGGGATGTGGGGCAAAGGCATCAAAACAAAACAAACAAACAAAACAAACAAACAAAAAACACCCAAACCAAAAAACTGATGTCCCCCATTCCTATGGCTGATACTTTGTGATAAACACTCCTCCTTGGGGGGGGGGTGGTGGTGGTGTGGGTGGGGGTGGTGGTAAAGATGTAGAATGTTTCCAGCACCACAGAGGTTTCCTCAAGCAAATATTTTAAGACTTAATGTGGTATTGATACTTAGTATGATTCTGACTCCAGCTCTCCTTTCATGTTTAGGGTCTCCTGGCCTTGTAGGTGTGGGAAGTCAGGCCTTGGTGAACTTTAATGTCTTCTCACTGTCCTGTGCTTGTTCCCTCCACCCCTTTGGGGTCTGTTTACCTCCAGGAGTGGCTATTACTACCATTTCTGAAACTTTCCTGCAGAGGATTCTAAACAGCCTCCCACCTGGCCTCCCCTTTATCCCAAGCTAGAGGAAAAAGAGATGCTTGAAGCTGTTAGATCATTTTCCTGATGATCTAGCGTCATTTCGCTGTTATTCCCAAAGCCTGGCAGGTTCCCAGAGAGGCTCTCAGTAAGCCATTCTCAAGACTAGGTCTGACGGTCCTACTTTTATGAATCACATATCTGCATTGGCTCGATTTTCTTCATATACGTCAACCAAAGCAACCTTTAACATTGCAGCAAACCTAATGCAGATCTGAGAATCCCGTTACTATCCACTAAGCTTTAAAAAGAGTTGCAAAAAATGTAAAACACCATCACTCTTCTTTATTTTCGGGATATGAAATTTATCTACTAATTACATATAATATGTTCGTTTTTAAATTAAAAAATACGGCTAAACATTTGAGGGGAGTACTGGGGAATTAACCCAGGGGCGCTTTACCACGTATTACATTTTCCCCCTTTTGAGACAGGGTCACTAAGTTGCGTAGGCTGTCCTCGAACTTGGGATCCTCCTGCGGCACCTTCCCAAGTCAATGGAACTAGAGGCGTGCGCGACCACGCCGGTCAAACTTCTTGTTTTAATTTAACTATAACCCATATCAGCAAAAGCCTCTGGCCCCTCAATCACTGCTAGGAGCATCAAGTGATCCTGAGACTGAGGACACGTGAGCCTCACAGCGGCTCTGCGAGGCGGTGACATTCTCTCCTCCGCCCTAGGGAATAAGCCTAGGGCCAATTTCCTTCGCCTCACCTCTGTCCCTGGAGGTCCGCGGGCAAAAAGCGTCACCAGGGAAGGGGGGGGGGGTGTCTCTCGCTTTGCCGTGCCATGTTTTCCCGCGTGGAAAGCGAGGATGACAACGTTTTTACCTCACGGGACCCACGGATGCTCTGCGTCTGGTAATCCCGTGAGGGTGCAATGGGTCATATTCCATTCTACAGAAGCGAAAGATGAGGCTCAGAGACGCCAAGCACCTTGCTGGGGTCCCACCGTCAAGCGGTCCGGAGCCCCAAGACGCCAAACGCTGAGACAAGACACTGCCGAGGGGTCCCGGGTGCCGAGCAGCCGCCGGTCATTCTGGCCAGCCTCACATCCGGTGCTCGGGCCGGAAACCTCCCTTCCGGTTCCCAAGACCGCGCTTCGGAAGTGAGTCACTCTGCCAATACTTAAGATGGCCGTTGGCTCATTCACTGCTGCGGTCAAAGAGGTGAAGTGGGCGGGATCCCGGAAGTTGCCCGGCTTGGTCATGGCAGTCTCCGGGGGCGTGGCTTCCGGCGGCCCGCGCCTACGAGTAGCCGTGGAGGAGTCGACCGCAGGCGGCGGCTGACAGGCGCTCCTCCCCAGACTGCGGCCACTGGAGCCGGGCGAGGTGGGTGGCCCCCAGCTCGCGTCCTCACGTCCCGGACTGCGAGGCTCCAGGGCCGCGCCGGGGCATGGAAGAAGGGAAGATGGACGAGAATGAATGGAGGTACCACGGAGAAGGGAACAAGAGCCTGGTGGTGGCCCACGCGCAGGTGAGCTGCAGTCGGGCGGCGCGGTTCAGGGCCTTACCCGAGGGCCCGGGTTTTCGGGGCATCCCCATATCCGCTAGCATCTCCCCATTTTGGGTCCTTCATCCCTCTAGCAACTCTTCAGTTCATTCCCGCATACCCACCAGCACCCTCCGTAGTTCGGTCTCCAGTCATCCCCCAGACCCCATGTCGGTCCCCCATCCCTCTGGATCCCGTCCCCGCTTGGTCCCCGGTCCTGCCTCCAGTGCCACTACCGCCGTTGGGCCCCCGTCCCTTTCAGTTTCCCCCTCTTCTCGGTCCCCCATATCCCAAGTATCTCCTAGTCCCCGGCGTGGGTTCTGAGCCCTCCCCCACCACGCCGGGTCGCTGCCGAGAGGCCTCACGCAGTGCAGCCTCTGGCCTCGCCCGACTCCCAGGCTGCCAAGGGGTGTAGGCCAAGTCGGGACCAGGCCTGGGCAGCACAGGGGGGGAAGTGCCTAGGATGCTGTCGCTCCAGGCAAGGAGGGAATTCAGCCTCATGAAACGAAGGTACTGCTGTTCTCCCTGCTGCTGTTAATAACCGGGTACTGCCTACAGGTTCGCCTCCGGAGTCTTTTAGAATTTAAAGTTTCCTGATTCAGTGAGTTTCAGAAACTGCAGTGAAGACTTTCAAGGAGGTGGATACAGGAAGAGAAGCCTTTGGATTTGTGGCCCAGAATTCTTTGACATCTTTGGTACAACCCGGCAGGAACGTGGTGGGTAGGAGGGAGAAAGATGCCAGATAGGGAAGATTTAGAGCGGGACTTAGAAGCACAGGGAGCTGGGACCATTCCCAGTTTTGCCACCGTATGGGGAGGCTCAGTGCCTGCATTTGTAAAGTGGAACTAGGAATAGAATTTGCTTTTTGGCATTTCGGGAAAGATCAATTGAGAGGGAGCCAGACAAGTTATGCCTTGCCAGTGATACCTATCAGCCCCTTGGTCAGGTGAAGCAAGCAGAACTCAGAGCAGTTAAGGTCCTGCCCCATTACAGCAGCTGTTCAGGAATGGTGCAGGTTCTGGAGTAGGCACCTGGCCCATGATTCTATCCTTGTATTTTGTTACCCATTAGCATAATTGGGGAATTAAAGAACTGAGACCACAGGTTCTACTTATGACCTTTAGGTGAGTTAATAATGGACAAGGCTAACCTAAAGCTTCTCCTTCTAATGGAAGCTGATGTATTAAGTTTCAAAAGTAGTGGTAGATGAAGGAGCAAGTTCTAGACTTGGAGCAAAAGCACACCCAGGGTTAGAAGAACAGAGGCTTCTGTGCAGTTACCTCTGACACTTGGATCTCTCTCCATTGTCCCCAGCAGGCACATGTCCACCCCCCTTCCCTAAGGAGGCATTTTTCAAGGTAGCCCAGCTCCTGCCTTTTTACACAACTCCATTCGTCATGGTTGTGTTTCTTTTTACTTTTACCTTTTTAACTTACCTTCAGCCATTAGGCTGTCCTGGACCCATGCTTTCACGCTTTATTTAATTGTCATCATCATCATTATTTATCGTTATCATTTTTGCAGTGCTGGGGATGGAACCCAGGGCTTTGAGCATGCTAGGCAAATGCTTAATCACTGAGCTACACCCTAGCCTTAATTTTATTTTATTTATTTATTTCCTAGCCCTTAATTTTAAATCTAAATTTTCTCTCTATGCACCTTCCTCTTTGGTGAAGAGAGTTTCAGCTCTTCACTTGAAATTGAAGCTTATCAACACAAACCATCTCATAAGAAAATGTTTCCCACGAAGTTAAGGTGGATGATGTTTGCATCTAATGTAGGTAAACTGAATTTGTGCCGTGTTGAGAAGCCTGGAGAAGCCTTTGTGCTTGGCCTGGTTCTCGAGCCTGGCTGCCAGCTCATCCCTGCTGGCATGCTCAGGCTTTGGGCTGAGAAGAGAGTGAACCCTGGAAGGCAGCTTTTCAGGGCTTGTTGTGCCCAAGGAGTGTGTATATGAGTGGTTAGAAAGAAGGTGGGTGAGTGAGAAGACTGAGAACTGGAGGATTCCCATTCCTGTGAGCACTTAGGCACAAGCACTGCTCTTATTCCTATCTGGGCATAGGTGCATCTGCTTCTCTGCTCAGCTCTCCAGATCAGTATCATCCAATCCAAGAGAGATGGAGGCCTTCACCAAGTCTTTCCAGATAGAGGTTCACTGTCTCTGAGAGGGCACTGACCTTATAAAATCCCATCAATCCTCCCTCTGTAGCACGAGAGCATGATGCACAGTGCAGGTGCAGACAGTCATCTGAGGCCTGACCTGCAAGAGCTGAGGGTCTAGGTGGGGACATCTGCACTGTCATTGGCCAGCAATAGAAGGAATACAGTGATGCTTCTTCTGCCATATGCAAGTGTAAAATGAGAGGGAGACTTCTGTGGTATGCAGGACTTGGGGCCTGGGATTGAGGAACTCAGTGTGGACTGCTGGAGGTGGTGGGGCATGTTCAGGGTGGGCAGGAAAGTGAATGCAGGCCAGGCCATAGAGAGGAGTTGTAACAGCATTCCTGACAGGTGGTAGTCATCTTCCCAATAGCCCCTTCAGAGGCAGCCCAGTGGCCCAGGTGGTTCCAGTGTTGCCTGTCAGGACATGTTCTTTCTTGTTTGGGACAGTTGTGTAGATATCCCTTTCCCAGATACAGCACCTGACTGTCCTCTGCTCATTTGGTATGGACCATCTGACGTGCATGCCTCCTGTTAGTCGCCTGGACACTGTCCCCCATTGGTGTCTGGAGCCCTAGGCATGGACCCTGAGGGGGCTTCTTGAGCAGGGCATGTTGCATCTGGTCATATACTTTCCTTGTTGCTGCCTGAGTGCATGGCACTTGAGCTAGCAGCCATATCATAGGTCATCAAAACCTGTGACTATCCTCCATGCTACTGGGCTGGACTTTTGTCCCCAGGTCTCTGCACTTGCTCCTTCACTTTGACCTTATTGGTTTTGAATTACGGCTTGTCCTGTGAAGGTCATTTTATGTCTGGTTTATCCTTCCATCTGTAAGGTATCCAGGGCACTTAGCCTCTGGGTCACTCAGGCCTTGGTATGCAGGGGCAGACAGTGTGCACTTGTCATGACACTAAGCTGTCATGTTTTCCTTCTTGTTGACAAAGGTAACCTGAAGGATTTTGCTCTTCATTGACCTGCCAACAAAGAACATTTATCAAACTTGTGTAGAGAACTGTTCATTTCCAGTCATTCGGTTTTGTAGCCTTTCTCAGATTCTGAGGAGAGCTTCACATCATTTCTGCAAATTGGTTGGTGCTTGTGGTGTTTGTCTGGGCTTTGCAGGTGTGAAGGTCAAGCAGTCAGGGGTGAGGGGCCATCTCATTGTTTCTCTTCTCATCTTCTGTTTAGGATATCTGGTTTTCAGATTTTTTACTTTCAATATAGCAGTATATTATATATATATATATATATATAAAATGTAAACAATTTAAATGGCTGTTTTACAGAGACTGTATTAGGTAAATTATGCTGTATTCCATGTAATTTGGGTAAATGTTTACAATGTTAAAAGGAAAAAGGTTACAAAAGATGTATAGTGTCTTGTGGTTTTAAGTATATATGTGGGAGGAAATACATCAAAATGTTACAGGTAGTTACCACTTTGTGACCATATCAAGATTTATTTTTACCTCCTTTCCTCTTTCCTTTTTTTTTTTTTTTTTTTAAAGTGGGGTTTCACTATGTTGCTCATGATGGGCTTGAATGCCTTGACACAAGCAGTCCTACCTAAGTCTCTTTTGAGTGGCTGGAGCTATAGGCATGCATAACACTACACCCAGCTCCTTATTAATTTTTAAAAAATATTTTCTACAATGAATATGCATTGTAATCAAGAAAAGGGGCTGGGAGTGTAGCTCAGTGGTAGAATGTACATTTAGCTTGCTTGAGGTCCTGGGTTTGAATCCTTAGCATTAAAAAAAAAAAAAAAATCAGGAAGAAGGATTTCTAAATGGTTTATAGTCTGATCTAATTTCTGTTCGTTTTTTTTTTTTTTTTTTTTTTTTTTTGAATACCAGGTATTGAGCCAAGAGGTGCTTAACTACTGAGCCACATCCCCGGCTCTTTTTATTTATTTATTTTTGAGACAGGACCTTGCTAAGTTGCCTGGGACCTCTTCAACTTGATGAGGCTAGCTTTGAACTCATGATCCTCCTGCGTCAGCTTCCCAAGCTGCTGGGATTATAGGTGTGCGCCACAGTGCCCAGCTTTGTTCATGTATTCTTGTATTCTTGAAAAGGAGATAATTAGAAATGAAAATAAAGATTTTTGTACTAAAAGATATCCATTACAGAATTATTTATCGTAGCTTAGGTGGAAAGCAGTTGTTCAGTGCTATAGGAATGTTGTTAATCACACTTTTTCTGGAGATGCTGGAAGCCCATAAGTGTTGATATTCTTTGTTTTTTTGCAACCATCTGGCATATCCCTAAGCTCTGGGCTCTTGTTGAAATAGTCTTAACTTTTTCTTGCCACTAGCGTCTTTAAAAAACAACAACAACAAAAAAAACAAACAAACAAAAAAACCCTCTACATTTAAGGTTTTCATTGGCGTTCTTATAGGCTGCTGTTGCTGATATGACTTCTGTCTGTCTGTCTGTCTCCCTCCCTCCCTCCCTCCCTCCCTTCCTTCCTTCCTTCCCTTTCTTTCTGTATTGTACTGGGGATTGAAGTCAGGGGCACTAGACTGAGCCATATCCCCAGCCCTATTTTGTATTTTATTTAGAGACAGGATCTCACTGAGTTGTGTAGGGCTTTGCTTTTGCTGACGCTGGTTTTGAACTCTGGATCTTCCTGCCTCAGCCTCCCTAGCCACTGCGATTTCAGGTGTGTGCCACCGCGCCCAGTAATATGGCTTCTTTCTTGGTGAGGTTTGTTCTTTTCTTGTCCCACTCTAGCTTATTGCTGAGCTCTGCATGTGACCCCACTTTATGTATACCTTAATTTATATTTTTCATTGCATGGTTAGGATTTTTGTTTTTTA